TTTTTTTTTTTTTTTTGCACAATAACGAATATTGAATCGTTATTTCATAGAAAAAACGATTATGTAATCGTTATATTGAATTAGCTATATGTCACGGCCGCGACATACAATGACAGAACCTGAACAGAGATTATTGTCCCAGTGTCGCGGCCGCGACACTATTGTTTTTTTTTTGTCACGGTCTCGACATCCGTCGCGAGCGCGACATACAATGACAGAAATTTTTGAAAACTTCTCGTTACAGAAATTTTTTTAACAATTTTGATAAAAAAAACTACTATAACTACTGCATTTGTAAGTATGTATAAAATACAACTTGAAAAATCGACCACCCGTTACATTGAAAAACACATGAAAAATAACCATTACATTAAATAACCATGAAAAAATAATACAACAATGTATTATCAAAAGATCCATACAACTCGTTACATATTAAATGTTTAAAACAAACTATGGATCAAAATGAGCACCAAATATCTCAGCAGCTAGTTTTTCACGCCAAGTACTTATATGAGATTGATCTACGTCTTCAACATTCTTCCCAGCATACAAAAATTCTATAAACTTGATTGTAAACATCCCACAATCAAACCTGCACCATAAATGTACAAAATTTACCAAATTTCATAATACACTTAAAGCTTAATGATCAAAATACATATTATACGTACCCATTGCTTTGGCTAGGAGATGTCAACCGTTTCAAACCAAACTTTTCATCACCGTATTTAGCATTCACCTTCGTCAGTATCATCGGTACCACAACTCGAATGGGCTCAAGTTGCTTCTCCAGTTGTGCCTTTCGCAAGACACTTGTTTCGCTATCATAGACGTAAATGCATCTGTGCAATAGATCAATCTCTAGTGCGATCCAGTGGCCATCGCCCTCTTTGCAGAAAGAAACATACAATTTCGCACAATCAGTCCACGGCTTTGCATTATTGGGTATCTCCCCTGTGGCGTATCTAGTCAAGGCCTTCGGAAATCTTTTAGTCTTCGACATATCCTTGAAGAACTTTCTCACGCACAAGACAAAAATTGTGTCCAAAATAGCACAATCTTGTCTAAACAAGAGAGGGAACTGTTTAGACCGCTCTCGAATGTGAAAAAGTGCTTCATCTACATGCTAAGAGTATAATGTTTAGGGAATATCACGCTTTTCGAAGGTAAAATATTGAATAAACTTTTGTAAATAGTTTACCTCACTAGAAAGCCATCCATCGTTCACAAGTTTATTAAAAAAATCTTTATTTGCTATACCACCAGAGGACAACTCAACTTCAAGACTACATAAAAAAAAATACATTAAACAAAGACATACAAGCTTATATATTACAATAAGTAGCCCACAATTAAATTTAACACAATTACATACCTTTCAGGGGAACTCGACAACCAGCTTTGGAGATCTTCAAGTTTAGCTGGATCCACTGGCCTAAAAGGGTCGTACTCCGTCACAATTGTAAATTTTTTCCTTTTTTCAATGTTTCTATATGGAGTACATAGAACGGCAGCCGGTCTTTTCTTCCGGAGCCCTCTCCCCTTAGGAGACTCAACTGGATCGTCTACAACGATTTTCTCTATCTCATGAGACTCAAGTTGATCATCTACAACGATTTTCTCTATCTCATGAGACTCAAGTTGATCGTCTACAACGATTTTCTCTATCTCCATCGGTGTCCCAAGTTGTCTCTCTTGGTAAATAACAATGGCTGATGACGGGCAAGTCACAAAACCTACAATAAGCAAAAATCAATCAATACTCATTTATTTACAAGAATGCACCATCAATTAAATTACGTAGTAGTTACAGTTATACTTTACATACCCGCATCATCATTAAGTCCAACCACTTCTTGTTGGGGCATCGGAGATGGTGATTTTACTGTGTCTGCTGTTGACGAGCGTTTTCGGTCAACGGTTAAAAATAAAGAATATTGAAAGCGAGATTGAAAATGGGAGAACGGTTCGGTTTAATCACGATTTTATTAGACGATCATGAGGTCGGCCTCTCGTACGAGGTCGGCACTTGCGATATACTTACAATTCTTACAACGAGTTTCTTACAATCTTTAGAGAGAGAAAATAGAGAGAAAGCAGAGTTAGTTGGATTTCAACAACCCAAAATAAATGAAATGAGCGGCTATTTATAGTAGTCTTTAATGTGGCACTGTTCAGCTACTGTTCACCGGTCTTGTCGCACAGTAATCTGGCAGAGCAGTTCGGCGTCTCCCTGACGTCTATTTAATGCGATTTGAGGTTTCTTCAATCATTACTTGTCAGGCATTAAATGCCAGCATGGGTGGCATTTAATGCTGACTAGCTTTATTGGTTTATGCTGGCTGGTAGGGTACTAGGCCATGATTACTTGTCCCATCATCCAATGATGACCCCCCAAGTGGGAATATTTTAATGTTCATTGAGGCCCGTGCGTCGTCTCTGGTCGGCCTCCTCATACTTTCAGCGCGGCACTTCATTCGTAGATGTTCATGAGACTAAATAATCTCCTTCCTGTCCGGCACCCCTCCAGGTCGGCAACTTCCCGGTCTGACTCGGGCTCCGGACTGAGAATCTGTTCCCAGGGCAGTTTCCCACCCCTCTAATCCGCGGTCCAGCTCGGCACTTCCTCACCAGGCCGGGTTCTTGTCTCGGTCCGGAGGGGCTGAGTTCCCGGTCCAGTCTGGACCAAATCGGTTGTCAACATCTGCGAAAGAAAAAAAAATATACGTGTTTCAATAACATGTTGCATTTAAATTAAAATATATCTTTATGTAAAAAAATATTACAATAACGTTTTCTATTTTTTTTTTATTAATCGAGTAAGAACATTGATATGATGCATTTATTTAAAAAAAATACCTTCAACACCATCTAATGTTCGACCGGTCTCCGTATCCCACATATTAATCTCCGGATCAACCTCTTCATCAACATTTGTCCCGTCATAGGTAGCACGGGTAGATGGACCAGCTTTTGCTTGAAATACTAATTTTTCTATTCGGTCAAAAAAATTGTTCATCTTCATGTCCATCTTCATCTCCATTCGCTCCATATTCATCTCCATCTTCATCTCCATTCGCTCAGAAAATATTATCATCTCGTCCTTCACAACTTCCGTCACAACTTCCCTGACTATAGTTCGAATATTTTCAGCATAAAAAACTTGGGGTTGTGGTGGATCGGATTGAGATGTATCATTTTTTTCTTCTTTCTCTTCCTCCTCTTCCTCACCATCCTCATCCTCATCCTCAGCCTCATTTTTTTCTCCTTCTTCTTCTTCCTCATCGTCAGGCACAATTTCTTGTTCCTCTGAAGTTATGCTGAAATCCTTCAAGTATGAAGTTTCAACTTCATCACTTGAAGGTTGTAACGTTCGTCGAACTTGAACCTGATTGTAGAATAATTAGTTTTTCAAAATTATAAGAATAAATAAGATGAGTTATCCATAACTCAAATTACCTCTGAAGTGTTAAAAAACGTAGTAAGTTGCTCGCTTCGCAAATGTTTGTCCATTTTCCAACACATTATTCTCGGAAGTCCGCCAATAGAACAGTGTTCACCAAATTGTCTTCCTAACTCAGGCAGTGCCTCAAATGCCCAAACCTGATTAGCAAACAACAAAACAACATTAAGAATACAACTAACATAAATAAATAAGAAATAGAATAAACATATATTTATATCAAATATACCATGATAGCTAGGGGAAATCCGTGAAGAGAATACTGTATCGACTTTGGGTTTTTTATTTTACCGAAAGTGTTCCGCTTGAACAACTTTACGGTATACCCATACGATAAGTTACCCCAAGGATAACTATTGAAATGCTCCAAATCTTCAACCAAATGGAACCATTTTTCATCTACGAGAGTCCGACACTCTGCAGACAAAATCACGTGCTCGAGGACCGTGATAAGCCCCAATTTGTATTTCAAGTTTGCATCTTCCTTCTTCTTCAATTTATCAAATTTCTCAAGCAAATCCTTCCTCATTATCTTCCCACGCTTCTTTTTGAATAGATGCAAAAGAGAACTACTTCTTTCGGGGACCTCGTACTCGGGATCATCCACGATCTTTAATCCGGTTACAAGAGAAAATTCTTGTAACCCGAGTCTAGCTTGGTTTTCTCCAAATTTAAACCACACGGCATGTTTTTCGTTGTCGGATGATTTCAAGGTCCTCATAAGAAGGTGGTGGATAATTTGAGACGACAACTTCAACTCCGGAATGTGCACTAATGGGCGGAAGCAAGATTCCAAAAAAAGATCTTGATGTTCATCATCTAGCCCCTCAAATACGTGATTCACAACCTTGAGGTCGCACCTATTGGTCACGACCCCGTAGCATGTAGAAGGTATGTCAAAAGCATACTCCATTTCGGTTCCTAAAAACATAGAAAAAAGACAACATATGTCATAAATTAAAAATTACAACATCAATCATAAATTAAAACAATCACATGCACATTATTATATTTGGAAATTAAGAAGTACAACATTCAAACATCAATAACACACACATTGGTTATGATTTCAACATAACTAATAAACGATTCTACTTTAACGATTGTTATTTTCGTTATGGTTATTTTTTGATCGAATACAACTATAACGATTCAACTTTAGTCTTCAACTTCATTACTCATCATTTTTATCTAACGAGTTCAAACTGTCGTCCTAATGTCATATATAACGAATATAGAATCGTTAACACCCCATTCAATCAGAATAGCCATAAATAGAGTAAATTCATCATGATTTTCAACATAACGAATTTATATTCGTCATGGTTATATTTCCATCTCGGTCGATTATATACACCTATACCTTCGCTATTTCATACATTATAACGATATTTTACTCGTTATTGTCATAATTTAAGTTATTTTTAATGGATTCCATCATATTCTAAAAAGAATTAACTATTGTTATCTCATAATAACGAGTGTATATTCGTTTTAGTGTAAAATATAACAAAGATAGCTTCATTGCTTCCATGTATACAACAAGTAGCATATCAAGCATTTCATCAAACACATAGAGTGCACTTTTACTATCTTCATTTCATTAAATCAATCCTACAAGCATTTCATCAAACACATATAGTGCACTCATTATCATCTTCAATTTCAACAAAACTAGCAAACTTACATGAATTCACATAACACAATCAAAGGAAAGAACAAAAAAGAAATTAAATAAAAGATCACATTCGAAAAAAAAAACGAAAAAATTCATACTTAAGTTGGCAAGAGAGAGTTCCATGGTGATCGTGCGCGAAAGAGGGCGAGAGCGAGAATGGGATTTCCGAGAGAGGAGGTCGACAGAGCGGGCGCAGGAAAAAGAGAGCAGAGAGAGCGGGAGGAAGAAAGAAAAAACTGAAGAAAAAGAGAGGAAAAAAAGGTGGAAAAATCTTATTATTGAAAAGGGCATAATAGTAACTTCATATTTAACATAATATCTTATTAAATTTTTTTCCCCCCATTTTGGTCAAGGGTTATTCAAACAAAATGTTATGTGGGAGGGGTTAGTTGAACTAATTTCCTCGTCGATCTTCTCACCAAATGTCGACCATTCATTTGGATTCTACACTGATAGCGCCACTCATCATCCTCAGATTTTTGCTCTACTCTTCTTCAAGAAAATGGCGCTTCACAACTTAGACTGAAAAAAGAAAAAGGAAAAAAAATGTCTATTTGCACCTCCTTCAATTCCAACGGCCTCGCGCTCCATTCTTCAATAACCCACAGCTTCAACAGGGTTTTCACGTCTCAATTGATCAATAAAACCTCAACCCCATACGCAATTCCTTTCCCTTTTCTCCATTCATCCGAACCCTTGAAATCCCGTGTAAAAAGATTCAAACTTGTTGCAGCCTCAGCCGCCCCTGAAAACCCCCAAATCTCGTACAGAAGCAAAAACCCTAAAGACATCAACGTTTTGGTGGTGGGCTCCACCGGCTACATCGGGAAATTCGTGGTGAAAGAGCTGGTCAAGAGAGGGTTCAACGTGACAGCCATTGCGAGAGAAAAAAGCGGCGTACGCGGTAAGAACAGCAGCGCGGAGACTGTCGGACTGTTAAACGGAGCAAATGTCTGCTTTTCGGATGTCACCAATTTAGAGTCTTTAGAGAATAGCATCCGAAGCCTCGGAACGTCCATTGATGTTGTCGTGTCCTGTCTCGCTAGTAGGAGTGGGGGCATAAAGGACTCGTGGCTGATCGATTACGAGGCCACGAGAAACAGCCTTCTCGCCGGCCGGAAATTCGGGGCCTCGCATTTCGTATTGTTATCCGCCATTTGCGTCCAAAAGCCCCTCCTCGAATTTCAACGCGCCAAGTTGAAATTCGAGGCCGAGCTTATTCGGGAGGCAGAAAAAAGTAAAGGGCTTTTCAGTTATAGCATTGTTAGGCCCACCGCGTTTTTCAAGAGCCTAGCTGGTCAGGTGGAGCTTGTAAAAGATGGAAAGCCTTATGTCATGTTTGGAGATGGGAGACTGTGCGCTTGCAAGCCTATCAGCGAGCAGGATTTGGGCTCGTTTATTTCGGACTGCGTTTTGGGGGAGAATTTTGTGAACAA